AATATCTTCACTCTATTCCAGTCCCTTTTGAGCCTTCGTTGGGCCATCTCGGGGAAGCATACTTGAGATAGTGACTTCTGGGGTTATGTTCGGCCATATGGGAGCTATGCTCGTGAGATAATGTTACCGTTCCTGACCTGATCTGCTTATCTCTGCTCCTGACCAGCCACGTACCCAGACGTTCAAGTCCCTATCTCGCAGACACGTCCGTTAGATAGTGGTTACGCAATATGGAAGCTATGTTGAGCCCTGTTAGGGGAACCTGTTCAGCCAAATGTCCAGATGATGCAGATGATGCAAAGCAGAAACTTGCACTTCTTGCATCCCTAAAGCCTTCAAGATACCCAACATTAGCACGAAAGCACTTTAAGCCGGTTCCAAAAACGTGAAAAAACACAGGATTCTAGAGCAAAAATGGCCCCCCCCCCCCTAGCTAAAGCTATAGACGCCTCAGCACCTTCGGTGCGGGCGGATTTGTATCCTGAAATGCACAAAGCTTGCATGCAGGTCAGCCAGCATTTTGCTGATGGCGAGACTTTTGGAGTCTATGGTGAGATTATCACAGCACAGGCGGCAAGGTGGGCCCCTTGTTCTCCAATGAACATGATCAACAATCGGGGTCGGGGTGTGCGGTCTCTTCAGAGTTTCAGAGAAAATTTGGCAGGCCCGAAAAAGCCGAGGAAGATAAGATTCCAGTGACAATACTCACAGGTGATTGGATTCTGTATTCTTATCGCTTTTCTGTCAGATTTGTGATGGTGATTTGAGAAGCCGGTTTTGTCCCTGCCAAGGCTTTCTGGGTGCTGGAAAGACCACGCTTTTGAATTACATTCTCCAGGATGTGAGTTTCTCTCTTCCTTCTTCGAAAAACATTTGGACGCAATATATATAATTTCGATCAGGAGCAGAAAGAAAAAAAGATCGCAATTATTGAGAACGAATTCGGTGAGGCCTGCTTTCGATCACCTTCACAATTGTTCTAAAGTTCATCCAGGGCTCATAGGATCTCAGACCCAGGACGAATGCACAAGAGGTGGAGGGTTCAATCAATTGATCATTTGGAATAGCTTTTCTTTGGAGGTCTCAATCGATGATTCACTGCTGAAGCAGGAAAAGCTTGCATTGGCAGAGAAGGTGGATTTACTGTATGAGTGCTTCAGGGTGCATTTGTCGTGCAAAGTGCAGAAACTGTCAGATTGTCGTCATGGACAATGGCTGCATGTGTTGCACTATCCGTGGCGACCTTCTTGGCGGGTGCGCCCGTACCCTTGCACAAGTTCTTTTTCGATATTTTGATACACGTGCTGGCAGGGGCTCCTGACACAACATGACTCGCTGTGATTGGTAGTTCAAAGTGTTTGCTTGCTTGGTTTCTCGATGGTCCTTGCACGTTTTAGCTGGCTCATGGAATCAACAGGGACAAGGCAGTACACAAGACAGAGTTCAGCAGGGGTGTTATTTTGCTCTGCAGGCTAGACCAGACTCAGACACGAGAAGTAGGCCTTTTGATTGAAACGATCGTTTAATTCGTGCTGTAATTCTCTCTTTGACATGGACTTATTTGCGCGACTTGGCAGCAGGGAGGTTGTGTGGTTTAGGGTCACGACGCGAACAGAACGCCTTGTGAGGCTTTGGCCATCCTCATGGTTCGTTTGCTGCATCTCGGCCAAGCAGTTTCTGTGGCAAAGAGCAAAAGAGCAAAAGCATTGGTCAGCGTACACGATGCCACCAGAAAAGAACTATGCACAACAACCTGACGAGAGGCACGTCTGAATCTCCCCAGCGCCTCTCCGCCCTTCATCTCCAGCAATTCGGAGGGAGCAAGGCTGGACCAATCCGGTCGAACTCATGTGGTGTCGTCGACGATCGAAACGAAGAAAGGACGAGCAGTTCTTTGACTGTGCGGAGACCACCGAAGACCTCTGTCGCCTTCGCCTTCGCAGTGTTGGGGGGCCCAAGAGCGAAGACTGGCCAGGGGTACGCATAATACTACAAACGGGTGACAAAAGACTCGCGGAGAAGCGACGTTTCCTTGACGGTGCTTCCGAGGACGCTTCGTTGTGTTCCGCTCCATCCACTCGGCTACCGGACCGAACACCTGTAGAGCCCCCGGCTGCCGAGAACGGCATCCCACCACGGCATCCGTCGGTCACCACCCGAGCCCACTGCCGAGATGCCCACACGCGGCAGGAGTCGGATGGAAGCCTCACACGCTTGAGCACTTCCTTGAGTTCTTACAGTGTCTCGAGCCTCGATGAGGAGGTTTCACCTCGACCCGCTTCGATCTGCGCGATTCGATTTTGCGGTCTTTGTTGGGCGCGCCCCGGCCGTTCCGAAACTCGGCGGTTCGCTTCGCATGGAGTGGTTTCGCAGGTGAAAGCGATGGCCTTGCTGGAGCGCACGAGGCAGGAATCAATGGAACAACCTGGGGGGCCGATTCGTGGCTGGAAATGGCCTAAAAGACAGCGGGTGATGTGAGCTCCAAGCTGACGGGGCAGGTTCAAATCTCCCAGTGGGTGTGTATTAGACTATATATAGGGCCTAGGGAGATCCCGAAAGATCTCTGGACAGAAAGTTAGACATGAAAAGACCAAGAACTATGGGTTGGCGGGTTGACCGCTTCAAATCACACAATCACATCAAACACTCTCATCGGAGATCGCCCTCTGCCAGGATGAGCTTTGTCGAGCGAAATCCTCAAGCGGCCAATGGTCCTGAAATGGACTGGGCCAACGACGACACGGCAAGGCATCCGACTGATGAATACAGCCTCCCATATGTCGATATATCTGGACATAGCAATTCATATGGAGACGTAAAACCATTCTGGAGACGGGGGGTTGATGATATAATCAGCAGTCTTCATTGCGTTGGACAATTCTTTCTTTGACTAGTTCTTTCTCTCGGACACCTTCAGACGGATATTTGAGCAACCTGAATACAGGTGCAGCAGACTTTTTACGAACTGTTGTTTTTTCGTCATCCTGACACATACAATATGATGCAGGCAAAGTCCTTCCTCTTTAAGCCAGCACTAGCACTACATCTCTTGTCTCTTCAGGGTTCTTGTCTGCAGCTGCAGCTTCGGAGGGCTTTCATGGTTTGCAGATTTTGGTTCGTCGCTACCTTCGCCTTTTGGGCCCTTCTGAAGGGCTCTTACGCTTTGGCCAAGAAGCGTTACTTTGCGGGGTTGGATAGCCAAGCCCCACCCATCTGCAAGCTCCTTTAGCCATAAGTCGGCCCTAGACACGCCTGCTCTCCTTCAGGCGCATGTGGACTGCATGTGAAGGCAATCAACGCAGAGCTGACAAAGCCTTTTTGCAGGTTCGACCGGTTCATGGAGCGTCTGATGAATCTGAGCCTTTGCCATCGAGGCCATGGAGATTCGCTTGCGTGACCGTCCGCTGTACCACTCGCTCCACTTCGAGGCGTGGACCTGAAGAGAAGGACAGACGGGGGGCGACGGTGGCGATCTGCCAGATCGGGATAGTAACAAGTGCCACGCTTCTAGTAACAAGAAGCTATTAGCTTATTGTTTCTAATAGCTTCTTGTTACTACTAGTAAGGCACTTGTTACTACTAGCGTGGCACTTGTTACTAGAAGCGTGGCACTTGTTACTATGTTTGAGGTTTGTATGGACATTTCTCCGCCACCTGCCAGAAGCGATGTGATATGCGCATTATTGGATATGACAAAGAGAATCGCCCTGTGCTTTACTTCTGCGCCGGGGCCTCTGCTTGAAAAAGGTGCTTTCTTGACATCGAGTTGCGACTTCTTAAAACTCTTTGGTGTTCTTTCTTGGACTTCAGTTGAATGAAAGAACTTGCGACCTTCACTCAACTCAAAACCATCCTTGGCGGTCAAGCACTTGGCATGCAAAGGCTTTGAGCCAGAAAGATTGGTTGTCGCCCTCTCCTCATTCTTGGCCTGATGAGTTGGTGACAGAGGATTTGTAGCAGTATTCCCGCATGGTCGAGGTGTATCAAGGATCAGTTCCTTGCTACGTTTGAGGCTGCAAGAAGGAGAGGGCTCTGGCCTACAAACCTCACATCGTCCATGATGTTGCAGTGTCCACTTTTTTGCACAGGATGTCAACCACAGATGGTCGGCTCGTGTGCATTGCCCTGCTCTTAGAATCTCAGCAGGATGTCACATTCAATGCGGGTTTGTGATTTTGTGTTTTTCTCCTGGCGCCTATGCATGCCCTTTCTGTGTTTTGTCGATGATGACACCTGTTTTACTCTGTGACTTGTACATAGGACATAGATTTTGGGGACAGCGGCCCTTCCTGAAGCCACAGACAGCCGATGGTGAAGCCGCGTCGCCAGGTGGACATGCACGGGCTTCAAGCACGCCTCAACGCAGACTACACTGCAGCAGCTTGGGCTGGTTTAGTTCAAAACCTTGCCCCTCAAACCATTGGAGGTTGACATCCCTCATAGAGGACTCTGTTCATGTTCGGGGGGTTTAGCAGGAGTCTGGGTTTTGATCCCCAGCCCCGCAGTTGGAGGAACGAGGCTTAGCATGGCAAAACGCCTGGCTTTTTGTGTATACCCTTTTTGACTTCACATATTGATGAAAAAAGGCTGACAAATCTTGGTTTTTCAGAGTTGGCCCATCACGTCACGTCATCACGCGCCCCCCTTCTTTTTTTGGGCTAAATCCCTCGTGCAGGTCAAGGACTTAGCCGATTCGATGGGTTGCGTCGCGCACTGAGAGTGATTCGATGGACGATCGATGGACCGGATCTTCGTCTCTCCACCACGAAGCCGCCGTCTTCGAGTCAAGTCGATCGACTCAGCGACACGGTCACCAGGTCTTCGCGGAGCGAATGGATCGCATCATCATCGTGGACTTCTCCACTGCTGCCCAGACCATCTGGTCCGGTGATTTAACTTTTGGTTGATGCATTGGACATGCGGAGGTTGCAAGGTGGCATAAATCGGCCTTAAGCAGGACATCTCACTGATGTCATGCTTTTTGTGTTTTGTTTTGTGCGTTGGTGCGTTTGCTTGGCGAAAGGTGGATGCTGAAGCCATTTCTCAGCTCAAAACTCAGGAAAGCAATGACAAAGGAAGGGTGACTCTCTAACGAGGTCGGAAGGAAACAATCCGAAACCAAACCTGTTTCGGTTCATCAAGACCAATCAATCCAAACACCTCCCTTTCAACGCTTTGCCAATCAATCCCAGCATCTCTGAGGCGAAGTCACACAACGGAAATTCAGCTTTGTGAGCAGGGAACCGCAGATGTTTTGAATCAGGAACCACTGCGTGGCTGTCAACTTCCGAGGTCTCAGGAAAGGCAAAGACCTCGTTCGGCGTGAGCTGGATGAGGCATGAAAAGCTGAAGCTAAACGCTTAAACCATATTCTGTTTAATTTGGTAATGAAAAGCTGGCGACCTAGATTGTAGCACACTGGCCCAGTGCTTGGAATTTCCCAGTGATTACTTTTGCACCAAGTCGGCATTTTTTGCAGCCAACCAGCTCAAGCTGTTGGCAGCTACACAGCTATTTGTGGCACGTCAATGTCCGTGAATTTCACACGTCCATGAAGCAGCGGCCCAAGTTCCTTCCACCTGCAAGTTCAATGTCCTCAACATGTCGGAGTTCGAAGGAATTCTTCAGTTGGTTTAAAGGAACATCAACAGGAACCCCCTGGTTATCACCCCCCAAAACACGGTTTCCTGTAGATTTTCCCTCAAGCCTCAATCATCAACTTGTGAGAGAGAGAGGGATGGTATCGCAGGGGGGGCTGTCCAGTGGGATGCGGATCTCCGATGTTCTCTGTTCCTATTGAGGATCCTGAGTTTCGCGCAAGTCCTTGGGACCTTTGGGGCTCTGAACTCTCACTTCCAGGAGTGGGGAGCTGGGGGATGTGGACTGGGGGATGTGGGCACTGATTGAAGAAGATGGGATCTCCATTTGCTGCTGGAACAGTTGAACATCAAGTCAAGGCAATTGAAAGACGTACAACAGCATGCAGCATATCTAATCTTCTAATCTTCTCCATGAGCAGCACCTGAGGCATCCCTTCAAACAAGCATCGATGCTCGTGGCACCGTTCGAGATCTTTCTCGTGTCATGCGCAGAGAGGCTGGGGGCAGAAAATCACAGTGAGATCCTTCGAAGTGGCAACTGAGCACTGAGTGAGATTCTTCAATTCTGAGCTCCTATAGAACCAAGGTCCCTCCGTCTATGGATGAGTAGACCTTGGACCTGTGGGTTTGACTCATACACAACCTCTGCAATTCGTAGATCCCCAAATTGCTCCGTCATCGTCTCGTCCGTGGTTTCCACGGAACTCCAGCAGCTTGCCCTTTGGAAGGCATATGCGAGTGATATGATAGCAGAGCGCCCGGGTTCTCAGAAGTCAACCCCAAAGCACAACCGGTCTTTCACTGAAGACTGAAGACGGACAAGCAGCACGAACCGTACAGGTCGTGATGGTCGTGGGGATGTTCTGCTTGAAGATCAACATCTGAAAGATTCGGCTCTCGCAGATGCCCACTCTAGAGGTGGTCGCACGGCTCAACAACAAACGAACATTTCCTTGTGGTCGTTGTAGAGCCCAAAACTGATCCAAGCTGGAAGAATGCATGAACACTGAATGGCAGTCACTGCTTCTTCCTGAGGTGAAGGCAGAGCTATCAATGCCACCTTCCAATTCTACAGGCGCCCCGGACTATCAATGCCGTCTGCGCCCTGACTGACCTTCCCTCCAGGTTCTCCTTGCAAGCCACACGATCGAAGGGTGATGCTGGAGAAATCTCGGAGTTGCTTGGCTGCAGTTTGCTTCATCGTTGGACAGCATGAACTTTGATTGGTGAAACCGTGCGCGCAGTTTGGGAAGTGCAGACAAGATCAATCACGCTTGGAGGGAGTCATGGCAACAATTCCTCTTTGATTTTCACTTATGTCACTAAATGCCACTAATGGACACACGTTTTCAGCGCTGGGGTGTGTGTTTCGTGACCTTGGCAAACGCATGGTGTACAAATCAGCAGTTTTTGATTTCACGGCGCAGGCAAGTATGGGATAAGTTTTGCATTCACCACAGGTGTGAGAATCGCAAGAAGGCTGATCTTCCAAAGCCCCCCAATACACTCGATTCATCATTTTTAAATTTTGGTTCCAGCGGCATGTCAGATGATGAGCTTCTTTCTGTCATTGCTGAGGCTGTCTTTCTTTGATCCGCGACATCAACCTATAGATTTCTCAGGCCAATTCGCGAACGTCGGTGGGTTGGTATTTATCATTACGGTGCTTTTAAGGCTTTTGCAGCTCTTTGTTCATTGCTCACGTTTGATGATTGTTTCACCTTGTTTCTAGTTGTTTGGGCGGCGTCCTGCTGAAAGAAAGGTAGCTTTGCTTTGCATCACGTGGACAGATTCAAAGAAGACCACGTACTATCTATATAAGTGACTTCACTTCTGCATGTGTTCTGAAGTAGAACTTCCTTCTACAATGCTGTGCTTCAGGTGAGAGTCAAAACCTCCTCAGCATTGTGGCGAAAGATGAGACAAATAATGAACTCACCAGTTGGAATGTTAGTGTGGTGGTGGACGGGAATCCCAAGACGAAGCTGACGCTGCACCCAAACTATGCGTCCAAAGCTGAGTGAGATTTGCATGTCTTCTCGGATGGAGGCCATCGCTATTAGGTTGGAGGCCATTGCTATTAGGTTGGGGGACATCGCTATTAGGTTGGAGGCTTTTGTGATGTCAAAGCCAAGGCTACTGTTTTTAATTATTTGGGTTTGAGGCATAGCCCTCTGTAGAACGTGCCCGTTCGCAAGGCTTGAACTACGAGTTCAGTATGGCGCTCCTTGGACGTGGCATTGGACTGTGTCTGTGAACTGGTCCTTTTTGAATGGATGAAATAATCAGACTGTCACCCCAGGACGAATCCACGGTTCAACGGTTCTTGGGCTTTCTTGGCTTTCTTGATTCGCTGAATTCTAATTCTGAGGTGGTCGTGGGCAGCATGGGCTTCGTGACCTCTTTAGATTCACCAGCCACTGGGCTTGCATGGAGGCAACAGAGGTGCAAAAGGGATCTCGAATAATACTTAACTTAATTAACTTAACAACCTATGTTTGCAAAAACCCGGGTGGGTCACAGGGCGATCGATCTCTCCACATCGATGGTTTCCGTCGGTTCTGCGAGTACGCAACGAGTTGGGGTGGTTCCCCGTGCCGAGGACAACGATCCTGCGTCCTTCAGGTTTGCTGGGAGACACTCCGCGACTGGAAACTGGTGTTCTGGCTGAATAAAGAAATTGGAAGGTTCTTTGGCGTGGCCTATTGATTTCGGTGATGTCTTTCTCATTCTGGAGTCTGGAGTAGCCTTCAAGACTCCACAAAAAATCCAAGTGATTTTCATTAGAAGCGGCACTCCTGGAAGTAGACCTTGTTCGACCCAAGAAGTCGAAGTCATCTACTCCTTGGGGTCTCCCCGCTCCAAACGCACCAGTGTGGTGCATGCCGACTCCAGCTGCACCAATTGACACCCGAGGCAGACCTTGGTGAAACATGATGGCTTCGAAGCTCCGCGGGACCGTGGAGTGCTGGTGGGTCCATTTATGTGCACTTCCATGGGGGATGCCGTGACCAACCCGAAACTGGATGGTTTGCCCAAAGACCGGAAAATCGATGGATGGGCAGAGACCTCCACCACCGCCACCGAGGGCACCGTCTTTCCCAAGACGGTCCCAAGCACGGAGGCTCCGACCTCAACCACCCCGAGAACGACGTCACCGAGGACGCCGACGACATCCGCGACTCGAAGGTCATCGACCAGACATCCGAGCACCGTTGAAGTGTCCACCACCAAGCCTCCTTCGAGGACCTCATTTGTGACAGACACCACAACCGGAAGTCATGTGACAACAGCGGCAAGCACCTTGCCCACAACGACACCCATGCGGACCACAAGCATCCCTCCCACCACTGCCACCACTGCCACTACAACAGTGAGGACCCCTGAATCGGTGGGAAGAGAGGCTGCTCAGAAAGCCAAAGCACTGGGTAAATCGCAGGAAGCTCAAGCTCAGGAAGCTGCAAAGGCAGCGGTGGTTTTTGCCAAAGAACAGCAGTTCACGCCTTTAGAACAGCAGGAGGTGGCTGGAAAAGCAGCAGCTGAAGCGGTTGCTGCTGCTGGTGGTGACATGAAGCAACAAGCAGCTGCTGCTGGCCTTGCAACCGCCGTGGTCGCCAGTGAAGAAGGGCAAAGTGTGGAGCAGCAGGCAAGCGCGGCTGGCCAGGCTGCTGCAGACGCAGCCAAACGGGCTGGGGCCTCTGTGGCTCAGCAAGCCGCAGCTGCGGGAGAAGCTGCCACAGCCTGAGTTTGTGCAGAAAATGCTTAGTGACCCTTCACTCTGGCCACCAGAAATAGCAAAACACTTTGAAACCCTCTGTCTTTTTGTTCTTTCCCTTTTTCCATAGTTTGTGAGCATCGAGATATGAATAAGCCAACATGACACTTGTGCAAGCTGCAAGAGACAGCCAGTGCGACTAGATACAATATTGTCGGCGTTGGAAAGGCTGAAGAAGCAATCTTGCGACAGAATCAACTGCTTCACAAAAGAACTGTGTGAAAAGCAAACACACAAGCACTTAACTCCCCAGAATGCCGATTGCGAATGCTCCACCAATGAATCGCCAACGGAACTGCTTGTTCAGAAGAGCAACAGGATCAAACAAGATTTCTGGTGGATAGTGCTGTGCGGAATTGAACATTCTTTGTTTGCCCGCAGTTTGTGAGAAAGGTGTGTTCGGGTTGGGATCCTCTATTGCTCGAGTAAGTTCCACATACCTCTTTCTTGTTTTCTGAGGGCACCAAAGCAAATGTGGAAGTGCATATAGAGTGAGCACGAGTGCCCTGTGATTGTTGGAAAATCTCCACCTTTGCTTGTCAACATGTTGAGTTTTGGGAGTCAAGTCAACATGTCCGGTCTGTAGTCTGTAGCATATGTTAGATGGGACCATGCCAAAATATGCCGCTTGGGCATCACGACTCAGGCCGCATTTGTTGGAAGGAGCAACAATGAAGGTGGAGAGAAAGTGGGGGAATTGGCTGGACAAGCGGCTGCAGAAGTTGCAAAACTAGCTGGGCTCTCCGCGGAACAACAAAGTGAAGCTGCCGGGAAAGCAACAGCCATGGCTGGCAAGGCGGATGGTGCAACCCCGGTGGATGTTGGCCTTGATGCAGGAGAAGTTGCGGCAAAGGCAGCACAGGCAAAAGGCGCAAGTGCAGAAGAGCAAATCAAAGTTGCAGGAGAGGCCGCAGCAGATGCTGCTAAAACCGCAGGAGGAACAATACTTGAGCAGGCTGCTAGCGCAGGGCAAGCTGCAGCAGCGGCAGCAAAAGAAGCCAGCCAAATTCCTGAACAACAAGCTGCTGCTGCTGGCAAAGCAGCTGCCGATGCAGCCAAAGCAGCAGGAGCTGCTGGTGAGGAGCAGGCAACAATGGCTGGAAGTGCAGCCCTTAATGCCTCGATTGCTGCAGGTCTTAAATTGGAGTCACAAATTTCGGCAGCAGGATCCGCCGCCGAAAAAGCTGCCATAGCTGCGGGCTTGACTCCTCAACAACAAGCTGCAGCCAAAGCTGCGGCAGTAGCTGCTGCAAGCCCCACTACAACAAACATGCCTCCACCTTTCACGACCCTCAACCCAGCAACTACTGGACCACCTTCCAGCACTGAAGCACCAGCAGACCCTCTTGATGTTGGCAAACAAGCTGGGGATGTTGCCAGAACACTTGGCAAGACAACTGAGGAGCAAGCAGCTGCAGCAGGAAAAGCTGCGGCGGAGGCTGCAAAACGGCAAGAACTTGCTCCCACAGACATAGCTGGTATTGCTGGCAAAGCAGCAGCTGCTGCAGCTGCAGCTGGAGGAGCTTCTGCGTCGGAACAGGCAGAAGCAGCAGGGCTGGCCACTGCACGGGTTGCCAGTGAGGACGGACAGACTGTAGAGCAGCAAGCAGCAGCTGCTGGCCAGGCTGCAGCAGAAGCAGCAAAAGCAAGTGGGGCCTCTGCACTCAAGCAAGCAGCAGCAGCAGGTGCAGCAGCTGCAGCTGTTGCCAGGAGCAATGGCCAAAGCGGAGAGAAAGTGGGGGAATTAGCTGGGGAAGCCGCTGCAGATGCAGCGAAGTTGGCTGGCCTTTCTGACGAGGATCAAAGCAAAGCTGCTGGGGAAGCAACGGCCATGGCTGGCAAGGCGGATGGTGCAACCCCGGTGGATGTTGGCCTTGATGCAGGAGAAGTTGCGGCAAAGGCAGCACAGGCAAAAGGCGCAAGTGCAGAAGAGCAAATCAAAGTTGCAGGAGAGGCCGCAGCAGATGCTGCTAAAACCGCAGGAGGAACAATACTTGAGCAGGCTGCTAGCGCAGGGCAAGCTGCAGCAGCGGCAGCAAAAGAAGCCAGCCAAATTCCTGAACAACAAGCTGCTGCTGCTGGCAAAGCAGCTGCCAATGCAGCCAAAGCAGCAGGAGCTGCCGGTGAGGAGCAGGCAGCACTGGCTGGAAAGGCAGCTTTCAAAGCCGCCCTTGCTGCCGGTTTGGAGTCACAGGCGCAAATGTCTGCTGCAGGATCCGCCGCAGAGAAAGCTGCAATAGCTGCAGGCTTGAATACTGACAAACAAGCTGCAGCTAAAGCTGCGGCAATCATTGCTGCAAGCCCGTCCACAACCAAGAAGCCCGCAGTGGGTACCACCATTCCAGAAGAAGAATCGACAACAACAACCACTACAGGTCCTTCACCAGAAGAGGCTGGAACGAAAGCGGCTGCTCTTGCCAAGGCGGCTGGCAAGGACCTCACAGATCAAGCAGCAGCGGCTGGAGCAGCGGCAGCCAACGCATCAAAGGAGCGGCAGGAAACTCCAATAGAACAAGCTGAGGCGGCAGGAACTGCTGCCGCTCAAGCCATTGCTGCTGGAGGAGGCAATGCCGCTGAGCAGGCCAAAGCTGCGGGTGCTGCTACTGCCAATGTTGCTCTGGCGGATGGCCAAACAGTGGAGCAGCAGGCCATGGCTGCTGGTCAAGCCGCAGCCAAAGCCGCCAAGTCTGCAGGGGCTTCACCTGCAGCTCAGGCGGCAGCGGCAGGAGCAGCGGCTTCAGCAGCAGTCCAACTCAACAATGAAGGACTTGAAAAACAAGTAGAACTCGCAGGTGAGGCTGCTGCGGAGGCAGCAAAAAGCCTGGGCATGTCTGCAGAAAAACAAGCTGAAGCAGCTGGCAATGCATCTGCTGTGGTGGCCAAGTCAAATGGAGGAGACCCCAAAGAAGTAGGACTGGATGCAGGTGAAGTTGCAGCTAAGGAGTCACAAGAAGCGGGAGAATCTCCCTCTGAACAAATTGAAGCTGCTTCAGAAGCAGCTGCCACTGCTGCAAGAGAGGCAGGTGGCACAGTCTTTGAGCAAGCCGCAAGTGCCGGAGGGGCAGCAGCTGCAGCGGCCAAAGAAGCGAGCCAAATCCCACAGCAACAAGCTGCAGCAGCTGGAAAAGCAGCTGCTGCTGCAGCCAGGGCGGCAGGAGCGTCAATTGCAGATCAAGGCTTCATGGCTGGTCTATCTGCCTTGAATGCCTCTGTTGTAGCTGGCATGTCAGAGAAGGAGCAGCTGCGGGCAGCAGGTGCAGCCGCCTCTCTGGCAATACGAGTAGCAGGTGGTGACAGGGAGGAGGAGATCAAAGCCAACATCTCGGCCTCTGCCGTCGCTGCTGCGAAGATTCGCGAAAGCAATGGTGGCTCCTTAGCCCAGCAAGCTGCAGCTGCTGGTAGAGCAGCAGCCTCAGTGGCCAAGGAGCTTGGTGAGGACATCCCCGAGCAGGTGGAGAATGCCGCGAAAGCCGCAGAGGCCATCGCCAAAGCCGCTGGTGCAGGTGCTGATGAACTTGCAGCTTTTGCCGGCAAGGCAGCCCAGAACGCCTCGGGCGAAGCCGGGCAAAATGCCACGCAACAAATCAAGGCGGCCACTTCGGCGGCAGGAAAGGCCGCCAAAGCTGCCAACGGTACTGTGAATGACATCAAAGAGGCGGAAGAAGCGGCTGCTGCCGCTGCAAAAGTCCTGATCCTACTGTGATTTCTTTCAAACATGTTTGACATGCCGCTTTTTTGGGGCATTGGCTAATACCGGCACTTGTTTGCCTTGTCCGCTCAGGTTGATGCCTTGTCCGCTGCGCACAGGAAGAACAGCTCCAACGTTTCGAAAGAGATCGAGTCCAATAAGACCACGGCGACTACAACTGAGGCCGTGTGTTTTACTGTGATACTACTAGGGGCAAGGACGCTACTAGTAGCCTGTGACATTGCTACTAGTAGCAAGAAGCTATTAATTAGCAACAAAGGGCATCACTACTAGGAGCAAGAATGCAGCAATGATCAGGCTTCAGGAGCTGGCAATCGCACAACTACACAGGCAATCTGTGTCTTCGACTTTCGTGCAAAGCGTCTTTCATTCGAATTTTCAGCGTAGTTTTGCTTGAGAACCCATTTGCCTCCCAGTCGAAGACAACGACGCCTAAGCCGAAGTCAACCACTTCAAAGGCCCCAAAGAGCAGTGGGAAACAGTCATGGCAGCTGTGTCGTCCCACCTTCCGGGTTCAGGCGAAAACAACGACGAAGCCGAAGACCACGACGAAGCAGGACTGTCTTAGACAACGGCATGAGCTAGAAGTTGGCTCAGTCGTTTTCCCGTTTTCCGCTTCAAAGCTGGTTTTTGCTCCAATCCATGCCAGACCACCACGACTAGCAGTACCAAGAAGACCACGACGAAGGCAGGCACCGTTTTTCTTCAGGGTTGCTTCAGTCCTTGATTGGGACCGGAGACGTGCTGCGGAGTTTCCTGCAGGAATGAAGACGGATCTGCGAGTTTCGACCTCAATTTTTGACCAAAAATCTGTCTCTCTTTTTGGTAGTTTGGCTCACTGGATCAGAGCTGCGGACACACATCAGAGCTGCGGAAACTGGACCTTCCTACAAGGTGATGATTTTGCGAAGTCGACCATGCGCAACGCAAGCAAAATGTGCGTCCCTGCTTTGGGTTCACAAACTATTTTCCGCAGAAGATTGCCCGAAGGAGCAACATGTCAAAGGACCTGGTCTTTCTGAGCAAGTGCTGTATGTGACTTTTAATGCAGGCGACAGCGAAAGATGTGATCAGAAGCTTCGAGGCATCTGCACACCAAAAACAAGAGGTACTGTGGTAAATAGCCAAACCATTATTGACCTCTCTCCATGTTTGTTATACATTCGTGACCTCAGTAATTGACACATCTTTGCAGTGATCATCGCACACACGCACAGCCCATCACATTTTGTCTCAGACTTCACATCGCAGGTGAATCGTTCAGATCTTTCCGATCATGAACGAGCACAACACAATGACCAGACTACAGCTGAAATCTCAAAGTTGAAAGAGCAGTCTTGTGTAGTCCTACTTGTCAAGTAAGATGGGAAAAAGCATGTTGGAATACATGGAAATTGCCTGGAGGTGAAGACCTTTGAATTTTGTTTTTTTGCTTAGGTCCCGTTCCCCAACTGATGCGATTGTTACGATTGGTGCCATCCTCGGCATGTCTGCAAAACAGGTGACCAAACAGATGACCAATCAGCTGAGGTGACACATTGCACTATGGGGGGTGGCTCAACAGGTGGAGCTCCAATTTTCAAGGTCTCCAGAATGAGACCAGCTCTTCAGGGAAGATTCTCTATAGATGATAAGTAGAGCAATGAAAAAGAACAACTGCATGCCTGGCAGAATGAACCAAGATGAATACGCTTTTTTCATACATACACATACACATACATGAATAAGTATGAATAGACATGAAGATCTGTCGGTTTGACACACCACCTCACCTTTGAGCCATACCGGACTTGGAATAGCCGAAGCCGCCAATGCTCGGCCTGTGCGAAGCCGCACCTGCACGGCTGCAGCATGGCGGGTTTTCCCGGCGAGACGCTCTTCTCCCTCTTTGGATCCTCTCTTTAAACTGAGTTTTTCCGGTTTTTCTCTTTTGTTGTTTCTGGCGAAGCAAATGATTCAGCTCTGGTTACAATGATTCAAAGGTTCGAGAGAAGAGTCCCTGCCGAGCTCTTGAACCTGACATGGCCAAGCCATGTCGAGTTTTCCTGCTGCTAATATTCTTCAAATCTTCCATGAACAGGGCGGTGATTCGTTGTTTTCTTTTAGTCACAATTTTTGTGGTTTGCGTTTCTGACATCCATTTTGTCAACATTCAATCCAGGGTAGTTCATGAGGCAGATGCTTGTCACGGTGAGAATTCTGGCCCTGCCATGCCCTGTAGCTCTGTAGCATCTCAAGTGGGTGAGTCAGGAAATCCTGAAGGATCCCTTACCTTCTTGACTGCTGCGATTTATGGAAAAGCGTTCCCTCAAAGCGTTTGCATGACTCTGACATCCTAGTTTCTCTGAGTTTCTCTGATTCTCAACCAACACGTGAGACAAGCCAGGCGAGCGACTTGGGTTTGTGCATATTTTTTTGGCCAAGTGTCTACCTTTGTCCATCCTCTTCTATGTTTAAACGAAGATGGACCGTTTGCCCACAACAACACCACGAAGAACGTCCACGTCTTCACCCTTTTGACGTCCATCTGAGTCTTTTCGGTCCACCGCCGATCGCCCGCCGATCGCCCGTCAACGCGCCTGGGCGATCCACAGAGACGGACCAGGCCGGGTGCTTCTTGCCTCGTTTGGTGAACATTTAGACCCCTTCATCGGTAGACAGGGCCCCTTCAAGCGCTTGGCGGGCTTGGCATCCGTCGGCAGATTTTTCACTCGCAAGCATAGCCTTCTTTGGCTTCCTGGAGCGTATTGTCTATGTCAGGGTACTGTAGTTAAAATAGATGGACACAGATGGACACAGCTGGCAGTTTTCCAAGTCCGTTCAATGCGAGCGTTGATCAAGGTTCCATCGTTTGATCTGCTTCCCAATTCTCCATTGGTTGACACAACCAGCATGCCTGAGAACCCGAGGTTCCTAGGTGTTTGGTCATTTGGTACTTTGAACAAAACACGTCGTTGACCCGTCAGAAAAACATACAGTGCCTTTCTTTGGATTCGTTGCAGCTCAGGTGTGTCATGGACAAGGCGTGGGGGATTCACGCCCAATGGGTGTGCGAAGTGAGGAAGTCTGGGCAAGCGGCGAAACCGTGGCATTCACTACCAGGAGAAACCTTCTGGTCTGGTGGTCTTTTCGGAGGGTGCGAAGGCGCTTCGGCCAAGTGAGGACGATGTTGAGCTTCTATTCCAGGGATTCCCAGGGAGGAGTCTTGTGGTCTCTGGAGCCACTTGGCAGAGCTCAAAGAGCTCCTGGTTGTGTGAAACTCAAGATCACCAAAGTAAATTCATGCTGACCGAAACCTGCTTGCAGGTTGGAAACAAATACTGCGCAAGCTCCTGAGCTTTCATAAGACTGTGAACATCTAACATGGAAGCGGACAGGTCTTGTCTAGCATATCACTTCTGATGTTTCTTGCTCAACTTCACAACTCTTGAAGGTGATCACCATTCACGATGATGCCGAAGCATGTAAGTTTACCTGCCTGGCCTATGACCCACTTGAAGCCGAGACGTATCGATGTGCTGGCCCCTCAGTGCTGATCGTCCGGACGTACGAGCTCCGTGCGTGCCGCGTGTCGCTCGGCTCAGGAGCTGACGTACCGTGAACTGGTCCAAGCCTGAGGGCAGTCGCAGCGCTTGGGTCGCTTGGGAGTCTGGTGTTCGGTCTTTCAAAGTTTAGATGAAGGGAGAATAGATTTGGCTTGGAGAAGGGATACCAGGCTCTCAGGATGTACTGAACACTCAAGATATTTTTGGATACCATGCCAATGATACCAAGAGTGTCAACTGGTGACACCCTTTTGACTCGGGTGCGGCTGATACTTCCTGCTGTGCGACAGTCTATGGTGCGGCAATTGTACGAAATCCTTGCAAAAAGGACTGCAAACAAGACAACGAACCGAAACAACCGCTTAACCACAGTTTTTTCTGACAGACAGAGTTTCTTGTTTCCAGACAGCCTCATTGACCGGACTGTTAGACCGATTACCTTAGACCAACATGCAAACCAAAAAAAGTTATATGAACAGGGACTGCTTCTGATGTTTATGAATCATTGATACGATTCTTTGCCCAGCTGATTGACAAAGGGCATAGGTTTTCTGTTGCCAAAGTCAAGGCGCATTGGAAATCTCAGGAGGAGAATTGAGGTGAGTTGAGGCACCTCGTGGAAAGCAGAACAATTCACTTGAGGCAGAATCTTCAACCGCCGCTCGACTTCAGCCTACGGCTACCATTTGCGCGTAACAACAAACAACAGTGGCAAGTATCGCTGAACAAAAATTATACCAAAGTATAGACGACCGGTGACGCGGGAGCACAAAAGAGAAGGTGTATCAAAGAAAATTGCAAGCTTGCAGCAGTTTACAGACATGTAGACATGCCAGCGGGAAAGTGCGTGTACATATTGGGGTGAAACTGCGTGTATGTAAGCAAATGTACATCGCGTAAGCTGCATGTGTGCGTAGGGCAGCAGCAGCAGCAGCAGCAGCAGCAGCAATGTAGTCGGCACCTGGCGGGCAAGCAACTGTGTGGATGGAAGGGGATTTAGTTGTTTGACATGTCCAAAGAAGCATAATAGCACAACATGAAGAAAAACACAAACATAGACACTAGATACTCAGGTCGGTGGTAGTGTTGACGTGTAAGTAGTTGGACCTTTGTGCATGGACGGTCGTGGTGGTTCGTGCGTATTTGATCGTTTCCGTGTCCGTGTGCTATACAGTAGTTTTGAGGTTTCTTCAGGACCACTGGGGAGAGCCTTAGCGTTTCTTTCGATACAGGCGTAACAATCATGCATGGTTGCACACATTCTCCGAGGTAGGGCCAATTTGCATAGTCACGAGTCAACTCTGAAGACGAAACGACAGTTCGTGTAAACTCGATACGGGAAACTCGAACACAACTTAGCCCGGCAGCTGTCCCACGTGGCCAGCGGCGGGGCTTTGTTGGCCAAGGCGGGCGTCCCCAATAAGAACACCGGGCGGGAATCAATGCCGCAAGAACATACATTTCATTGCGCGCTGCCCAAAAAGCCTTTTCCTTGCCTTGGGGTTGTTTCAAGGCATCCGAAGCGCCAGCAACTTTCTTGTCGCGTCAGGGTGCGCGCTGTGGGCCGGGTAGAAACTGCGCGCGTGTGCAGCGTCTGCATCTATGTGGGTATACACATGCGTGCAGTATCAGTTTCAGTTGCCACACTTTCAGTTGCGAGGGCCGTTTCACACTTCGATGACGTTTTTGGCAATCTCAGTACTGACTTTCGATGACAGAGCCGCACTTTGTTGATGTGCGTGCGTCTTCATTTTCGACTACCATTCAAGATTTGACAAGACCTCGCTAGCGACGACAGTTTCACATTGAGCAACACGCACCTTCATGCCCGGGCAGTGTGAGCGTGTGACGTGCTCCCCTGAGAGGGCACACCCATAAATCCTTGAGCATTTGGCGCGCGCGATAAGGGTTGACCGCCGTTGAAGGCGGACTGGGCGCTGCCATCAAAATCCCTCACGTTCGAGCATCTGACACGCAGGATTCCTGCGGAGGGTCGCGTTTCGCAAGGATTTCCGTCCAGCCCCGCCGTTTCCTCGAAGGGAGACGGCAGAAACTAGCGGCGTGCCTCCAGTCTTTTGCGCGCGAAATCGATTTCTCGATCAGCAAGTTATACACTTGAAGCAAAATCAATTTGGTGTTGGCATTTCTACACATGGAAGACAACCAGTGCAGCACGGTGACAATATGCGTGTGTGCTATGCAGCATGCATGTGTACTTTCTAAATATGCAAAAGTGTGGATGCGAGTATGTCACACAAGTTCACACCAGATGTGGAAGTAACAATGAAGGACTGGTGGGTCTTCATGTCAATTTTATACCAAGCAGATGTAAAAAAAGTTCTAGATGTAGAAGCAGCAATGTAGAAGTAGGAGGTCTTCAAATAGCACGTCTATTCAGCAGAAGAACATCGGACTGCCGGACTGCCCCTCCGGAGAAAACTAAGAACACAAAACCTGCGTCGTGGCCC